AGTGTGGGAAGAAACCAAGGGAAGCAGCAAGAGTCACAGCACTGCCCCTGCTTGCGCCCTTTCCCTGTTCAGGAGACTCATGCAGTGGTGGTGGGGATATGACCACCATCGGGAGGTCTCAGGTCTGCTCCTTGGTGGTTGTAGAACTGATAGCCTATCTCCAAATGGGCTATTTCCTCATCTGTGTGTGTGGGGGGGGTACTAACAGTGTCTATCCAGATCCCCCACAAAGACTTGTAGGCAAAGGTTCAAAAATGATAACAAGTTAAATGTATATCATCTGATGAATAGGTAAGCAAAATGTACTATACATATACGTATGTATGTATTCATAATGGAATATTTTTGTTGGCCAAAAAAAGAACAAAACACAAATGCATGCTATAAGTGATAGAAGCTAGTCATAAAAGAGTGGACATTACATGCTTCTGTTAAACGGAATCTGAAGAACAGGTAATCTGTATTATCAGCTGGTTGCGTATGACTAGCTGAGCCTGAGGGAGAGCAGGAAGGAAGTAGGGAGTTGCTTCTAATGAAAATCAGACTTCTTTATAGAATGATGAAAATGATTAACAGTTACATTATGGTGAAGGTTGCACAACTCTGAAAATATACTTTAAACATCAACAAAGTATACATTCTGAACGGTTGAACGTTACAGTATATAAGTTGCGTGACAATAAAGTTTTTTTTTAACGAAGATATCCACCTCAAAAGTTTACTAAAGGAGTCCATAATGTAAAGTCCTTAGTACCGTCCCTGACAGCCAATGTGTTCAGCAAGTGTTACTCATCACTGTTGCTGAGTGTGTCCATAGGGCATTTCCAGAGATAGTTAGCCTGTGGGAACCCCTGGGTAGAGAAGTCCCACCCTGACAGGACATCGCTGTCCAATAGGCTGGGCCCCCAGATGAAACAGAAGTAGATGGGAGAGAACACAAACCAGCAAGCTCCAATTCAGTTCTTCTTGAGTGTCTGAGTCTACTTGCACTTGTCATCGCCTGTGGACATGACGCTCAGCTGTTCAGCTTTTCAATGTGGACTTACCGCAGGGAGTCTTCAGGGAGCCTGCAGACCTCAGCTTCAGAACGGAGCTTTGTTCTGAAACCCTGAGCAGCTCCGGGGTTTTCTGGCTTTGCCATTGTGAGGCTCCAGTACACCAGTCTAATAAATCCCCTTTCATAGTATTTATTAGGGAACAGAATATGTATGTTACCTAACATATATATGTATGTGTGTACATATTATGTTTATTATGTATGTGCACCTATGTATGTGTACTTAATTAATGTTACTATTATGTAAAATTATAATGGTATGAATATATAGTATTATATGATGTGTTCTATTTATATGCATACATAAATACATATTATAGACTCTAACTTATACAAATGGTTAGTTTTACAGATATGATTAACATAAGCTACCCCTTGACTTCAACTGGAGATCAAGGGAGCTGAACCACGTGTCAGTAGGCCTCATCCAATCAGCTGGGCGTCCTTAAGAGCACAGCTGAAGTCTCTCTGAGGAGGAAGAGCTGGCAGCTGTGGACCTGGGTCGGCTCCCGCTTGAGTTTGCCCTGCAGATGGCAGCCTGGCCTGGCTAGTCCGCTCGGCTGCAAAGCCAACGCCACACCTGCAGCTGCAGCTTTACCGCTGCTTTGCGACCTCTGTCGCCATAGACATTTTGATTCTCATCTTGTTCACATAATGAGCTGGTTAAAGAAGATACATGGGCAAAGAACTGATACAGAGAGTCCAAAATTTATTTAGAGTACTAGAGAATCAGCCATTTATTAAACTGATTAAAGTACCCAGTGTTGTTCCTTCTGATCTGAAATGAGCCCTGGACTATTCAGAGAAAAGACAAGAAAGTAAATAGCTCTGGCTGGATATCTAACTTCAATAGGGATCCTATAGGCAAAAGTGATGATCACGAGTGTATGTGTGTGTGTGTATGTGAGCACATAAGAATCATCACAGATTTCATGTTGTGTGTCCAGTAATACTGACAAGACTTAAGCACCAGCGCCAGATTCATTGTTCACTATTGCTCTACATAGAACCCGATCCACTCACTATTGCTCTACATAGAACCCGATCCACCCGAGCAACGTAAGTAAGAAGAATGAAGTCCCTCGTTGGCCTCGGTGGCTTGTGTTTCCTCTCGGCATGGCAGAGGCATAGGGAGGCTAATGTGAAGATGGGTTTGCACGTCCCCACTTGTAAGTACCTGGACCATGACGACCGGGGTGAGGGCTGGGGAAGGGCTGGCCAGGAAGCCGGAGGCCACAACCCTGAAATTCTTCCAGAATGAAACATCTATTTTCTAAAGACTTACCAAAATACCATCTTGCAAAGATGCTACTGTACTAATGTTCTAATGGTCTCTGATGAGATCACAGAGGGACTAGGAAGACAGAAAAATCATTGTCTTCGGAACATGCTGACCAAGAAACATATCAAAGGCCAGTCCCTACGAGTACTGTGTGAGTACTGTGTGAGTACTGTGTGAGTACTGTGTGAGTACAATGTGAGTACGGTGTGAGTATGGTGTGAGTACGGTGTGAGTACGGTGTGAGTATGATGTGAGTACAATGTGAGTACGGTGTGAGTACGGTGTGAGTACAGTGTGAGTACGGTGTGAGTATGGTGTGAGTACTGTGTGAGTACTGTGTGAGTGCGGTGTGAGTACGGTGTGAGTACGGTGTGAGTACGATGTGAGTACGGTGTGAGTACGGTGTGAGTACTGTGTGAGTGCAGTGTGAGTACTGTGTGAGTACTGTGTGAGTACGGTGTGAGTACGGTGTGAGTACGATGTGAGTACGGTGTGAGTACGGTGTGAGTACGATGTGAGTACGGTGTGAGTACGGTGTGAGTACGGTGTGAGTACAGTGTGAGTACGGTGTGAGTACGGTGTGAGTACGGTGTGAGTACGGTGTGAGTACGGTGTGAGTACTGTGTGAGTGCGGTGTGAGTACGGTGTGAGTACGGTGTACCCTATCACTGACACAACAATGCATGTCTCCATGCTGTGGTCAGGTGACCCTGAGTGGGTAATGTTGCTGCTGAAGTTGAAATAGCATGGTTTCCAGAGATCTGAGGCAAAAAGAAAAAACAATGAAACAGCGCCTCACCACCCCGTGGTGCAAGGCTTTGTACACTCCAGGGTTGGCTCAGCAGTGTCGTGTCTAGACGTCTCCGACTGCACCCGGAGCAGCATGGTCTGCATGCTTTCCGCTGCAGCTGTGGAACGCGTCATGGAAGTCACAAACCCTAAGCTCCCGCAGAGGCGGCCTGCACTGGTCTGCGCAGTCAGTGCAAGGTGAACCATACCTGGGAAAGTGCCCGTCACTCAGCTCCCAGGATTACTGGCACCTTGAGATGTGGGAAGGAAACAGTGATGCTGCTCACTGATGATAACAATGCTCCCCACTGGGCCAGGGGGTTGGAATGTGTCACATGTGAAATACCTAGACGTTTCCCTGTCCTGCTTCTCTGTTCCAGCAAGTTGTTTCCAAATCATTGCCCAGAGCATTCGTGTCAAGTTCAGATTCCTAAACTTCAGCCCCCAAAGACATTAATCCATCCGGTGTCGGGTTGGATTTCAAGTTACTTAAGAATCTGGTTGACCTATCCCAAGAGACAGCCAAGGAGTTATATTTGGCATGTGGGATGCAACTGTGTTCTTTCCCCATAGATGATTATCAGCCTCTGACGACTGATCCTGTCTCATAACCAGTGAGGAGCCTGGGTAGCCCCAGCACGTCCCTGGGCCCTCAGAGACATAATACGGCGCCCGGGGACACAGGTCTCTGAGCTCTGCCTTCCAGACAGCTCCGAGCGGTCCTTGGAGCACATAGGCAATTCACACCAGGTCAACTCAGCAAATGTTTATTTGGCACCTATGGTAGGCAAGGCAGGGCACAGAAGATCAGCTAGATCAGGAGGCTAACGCAGCACGTGGTATTTACAGAAGATCAGCTATGCTCACTCAGGCGACTAACGCAGCACGTGGTATTTGGCTGTGTAGCAGCGGGTGATTTGGTTAGTCCTTGACAGGAGGATTCTCAGCGGTGGGAGGAGAGAGTGGACATGCTAGGTTCTGGGGAAGAGTGGAGGAAGGCAAGGGCAGTGGGTGTCCAGAGCAGAGAGAGCCGTCTGCCTAGTGTAGGAGGGGCTGGAAGGGCTGGTAGAGCTGGAGCAGGGGGGAGGGCGGCAGAAGCTGTCAGGGGATCAGAGGTCTGACTGCACTCTGTAGGCAATGGCCAGCCATTGAAGTGTCTCAGTGAGGGAGTGCATGACTGGACTTCAATGCCAAGTTCTCCGCCATGAACAACCTATGATTCTCTTTTTCCTTGTTGTTTCTTTCGGCCAATCCTGGGGCTTGAACTCAGAGCCTGGGTGCTAGCACTTCCCTGCGCTGCTTCTGTTCAAGGCTCATACTCGACCGCTGGAGCCACAGCACCACTTCTGGCATTTTATTGCAGTGTATTGTAGCTGTGAGGCTCATGGACTTTCCGGCCCAGGCTGGCTTCAACCCACGATCCTCCAAACTCAGACTCCTGAGATTCTCTGTTTCTTTCTTGGCAACTGTAGGGCATCACCCCCTCCCTTGGTCTGGCCACGGGTACTTTCCCAGGCTGCCCCCCAGATAGGAAGCAGTTCCTTACTAGGCAAACTAGGAGCTCACTTGGCAGGTACCCTTCACCTCCAGAGAAAAGGAAGTGAGGCTTTCCAGATCCACTGGGGGAGGGGGGGCGGAGCACAAGGAAGGAACTCAGCCATGATGGCACGTGTTAGCTCAGAGGAAATGGGAGTGTCAGGGGACAAGATGGAGAGAGGTTGAGTGACATAACTGACATCATCCAAACTCAATCACCTCCCAGAGGACTTCCGGAACAACCCACCTGGCTCCCCAGCCCACAGGATGAAGAGACCCTTCAGTCTAATGCACTGGAATCCGCAGATGGAGGGTGTAGAAGGTTCTCTGCTGATGGAGGCTCTTAGCAACCTGCCTAACTGTCCAGAGATGAGGGGGAATGGCGTCCACCGGAGCCACCCCAACCTGGGAAGGGGTGAGAGGCCACTGCCGTCCAGGTGGAGACGGCGATGCTGGCCAGCGAGGGCTCCCCCAAGACCTCCACCCCGGCCGCAGCGGGAGCCTGGCTGGGGAGCACTGAAGAGGGCGGCGTGGCGGCTGGATTACCCAGGAGGAACGCGCCGGGGGTGCCAGGGTGCACCTCTGGGCCTGAGCCCGCAGGGCCCCCGCCTCCGTTGCTGACGGTCCAGAGGCACGGATAAGGGCTGCAGAGACAGAGGGAGAGGGCGGGTTAGAAGCACCGAGGTGAAGAACTGCCCGCCTGGCACCCCGCAGCACCGAGAAGGGCACTGTGGGCAGCGGCTTCCGCTCATGGCTGTGTTTTTGAGGAGGATAGCACGGGTTTTGTGGAATGAGAAGCAAGTCAGCTGTCCTGAGGCCTGATGCCAGTTTAAAGCTACCATTCCACTCCTCTGCGGCCTACTGAAAATGAGGGGAGACATGAGAAGAAGACGAGCGAACGGGGCAGTCTGTGACTAAGACTTCCCTCTGGTCAAGGAAGGAAACGCGGTTTAGCAAAACCAGGACTCTGCGGCCACAAGCCCCGGGTGTGAAGCCTAGTGCTACCACTTACTGGCTTCGTGAACCTGGTCAAATTAGCTAAGTCCTCCCTGTCTGAGCTGCTTTCATTCTTTCATGCTTCTTTTATTTTTGCTGTTTTGGTGGATTTCCTGGATTTGAATTTAAATCAAGTCACACCTTGATAGGCAGATGTTCTACCACCTGAACCACACCTCTAGTTCCTTTTTTGCTTTTACTGTTTTCAGAGAGTGTTGTGTTTTTGCCCAGGACTGGCTTTAGACTGCGATCCTCCTATCTATGAGTCCCACAAAGCTTGGAGGACAGGTGTGTACCGCACACCCAGGTTTGATGTTCAGATAGAATCTCACTAGCTTCTTTCAACTCAGCTTGCCTTTAGCCTTTATTCTCCTGATCTCCACTCACACACGGGCTCACAAACGGCCGGGGTTATAGGCATAAGCCACCACACCCAACCCAAGTCTCAGCTTCTGAATCTTAGAGAATCAGAGTTAGCCAGACACAGGTGGTTCATGCCTATAATTCTAGCTACTCCGAAGGCTGAGATCTGAGGATATCAGTTCAAAACCAGCCCAGGCAGATGGATTTGAGAAACTCTTTAACCACAGCTAACCAGGAAAAGGGCCAAAAGTGGAGGTATGGCTCACATGGTTGAGAACCAGACAGCCTGGAGCAGAAAAAAGCTAAGCAAGAGCATGAGGCTCCAAATTCAAGCTCCAGTACCAGCACCAAGAAAATAAAGGACAAGTAAATAAATAAATAAACAAACAAACTGAAGTTGTAACTTTAACAACTCAGAAATGTTCTAATAAAGATTAAAAGGTGAGCAGCTTAAAGAAAATAAAAATATTTTCAATAAGTAACAGGTAAGTAGCTCCTAATATATGACACTCAGTGAATGTTCGTTGTTATGATTAATGCTTGCATTCCTGGTCTTCATCTGCCAGATCTGGACCCTGGTAGAAAGGCTAAGAAGCTTTGGCCCACCCCTCCTTCCCGCATCCTGACTTAGTCCTTCCTGGCACACAGCCTAGGTATCAGGATTTTATTTCAAGCTTCCCAGGTAGTTGTAATGTGCAGCCAAGTTGGCTGCTCATAGGAGCAGAGCTCATATGCATGTGAACAAGCCCAACCTTCTAAGCCATCTCCACGTTCTGACCCTTTAAGAGTTTCTCCACTGCTTGATAATCAGCTATCTAATGATACTACTGAACGTGTGCCTTTTTCTTTAACAAAATCCTTATGGAATCCGGATGAGTTGAACATGCCACGGAGGAACTCCTCTGATTTCCTCTATCTGGTGCCACACCTCAGGCCCTGCAGATATCCTTGACCACAGACTCTCAGCTCTCTGAGACAGGTCAGAATTTCCTAAAGACACTTCAAATTCCCCCTGGGCCAGTGAGTGGGGCAGCCTCAGGATAGTTACTCTGATCCGCCCTCAGACTAAGGAGCGTTGGTTTCTCCGTCAGGAAAGGTTGATTTATTCCTGGTCATGTCTTACGATGCCTTTGAGCGTGTGGATGATTTCTGTAAGTATCTCTTAGAGGACTTGGTACTTGGTTGTTTCATAGTCTCGAGGACCTGCCTGTTCATTTGCTTCCACGCTTCCTACCACAGCCCCAGTCAGTGTCCTTCCCGAGTCTCCCTGGCCAACACTGTCCTACAGAAACCAGACACGAGTCCTGTGCACCAGCCACAGCCCCCATCTGACAGTGTCCAAGAGCCACATTTAGAAAGGAGAATGGGGAAATATAACTGGTTAATATTTTCCAGTGCTGAAAATATTCAAAAATACTATCATCCCAACACACATTGATGTTTTTCAAGTGTTGTTGAGATTTCTTGTCTTCGCTTCGTGCTACGTCTTGGACGTGCAGTGTGTGCATCAGGACTTGCCCATCTCGGTTTGGACTAGCTGTGATTCGGGTCTTCAGGGGTCACGGTGGACACCACAGCTCCAGACACTTATGAGCAGCAGCAGCGGCAAACATCTGGGAGCTTTTTAGAAATGCAGATTTCAGCTGGTCGCTGGTGGCTCAAGTCTGTAACCAGAGCTACTCAGGAGGCTGAGATCTGAAGACCAAGGTTCAAAGCCAGCCCAAGCAGGAAAGTCTGTGAGATTTTCATCTCCAATTAACTACTAGAAAACTGGAAGTGGCGCTGTGGCTTAAAGTGGTAGAGTGCTAGCCTTGAGCAAAAGAGCTCAGGGACAGCACCTAGACCCCAAGTTCAAGCCCCACAACTGCCAAAATAAAGAAATGCAGACCTTCCTTCTAGCCAGATTCAGATTCTGCATTTGAATTTTCTCAAGATGATGCTGGCATACAAGGTATGAGAGGAGCCGCTGTAAGGCAGACATCACATTTTCCTTTTTCCAGTTCTAAAAAATCATATTTATCTGATGCCTGTTCTAGTTCTGTCTTTTGGTCGTTAATCCCTTTTTCCCCGTCTCAAAATTCTGCAGATCCATGTTGAACTTAATAGCTGACACTGACACAGAATATTACTACCTACAAAGCAATTAAATGAATTTTCTCATTTTGATTTTTACCAAAGCCCTACACATTAGATCTTTTATTATTATTATTATTAATGTATTTATTTTAGTCAGTCATAGGTCTTGAACTCAGGGCCTGGGCATTGTCTGGGAGTGTTTTTGCTCAAGGCTAGTAGTATTCTACCATTTAAGCCGCAGAGCCACTTCTGGTTTTCTAGTGGTTAATTGCAGATAAGAGTCTCACAGACTTTCCTGACCAGGCTGGCTTCCAACTCTGATCCTCAGATCTCAGCTCCAGTAGGTAGGATTACAGGAGCAAGCCACTGGAACTTATATTATTTTTTATGTTAGGATAAGAAGATCCAGTAAGACTAAAAAAATTTCCCAAAGTTACAAAACCAATAAGGAGGAGATCTGGGACTCAAAAATCACATCTATCAAACTCTAGAGTTCCTTTCTCTATTCTTCTACCATGATGATATTCTGAATACAAGAAGCCAGAACAAAATTTAAGTCTCTGGTGTGAGATTTATATCACAGGTCCTACACTTAGCACTTTTGCCAGAATTGTTACCCATCATGTGTCCCTTTAGAATGGGGAGCTTGTATGAATATGGGTAATCAAAATTCTTGATTTCTTTGTATAAATTCAAATTTCCCATTGATGTCCCTATAATCAGTAAATATCTTATATTAGTTCAAGACAAATGAACCTGGGCCACAGTGGTTTTTTCCCCTTTTAAATATGAAATGCTGTAGCTACAAAAGAAAGAGTAAGTGCTTGCTCTCCACCCCTTTTCCAACTTCAAGAGGTCATCCTGTTGTCATATTCACTAACTAGCAACTTAGAAGTCAGGACGACAGCTTAGACTGAGCTACTTCAAAAACAATATGCAAAATCTCATTGCTACAATAAAGCTCCATGAGCACATGGCAAGGCTGGTCTTACCTGGGTCCTGGATTGATTGGTCCATTGGTGTGGGGTACAGTCAGGATGCTGGTATGGGGTGTGGAGGATAAGGAAGTCCAGTTGTCTGTTCCTGAGAAAACTTGCAGATTATTGCTTGAGCTTTCTATCAAATTCACTTTGGAGGAATAATAGTAATTAATTCAATTAATGGGACATATAAAATAGTGACCAATGACATTATCCCTGGTTGTGCCACAGGCACAAGAGATCATTAGTAGTTTCTGAAAGAAATAGAAGAGGAAGGAGCTCGGGTTTTCTGAATGCCAACCACATGCCAGGTGCTAGTTCTGATTTACAGTCACCACAGCAACAACTTCCTGCCTCCACTTTATATGTATGACTCAGAGGGAGAGGATGATTTGCCCTTTGAGACACATATCTAACTCATGATATCACACGCCCCTTTAAGGATGAACCATTACAGCATCTCCAAGGTCTGCCAGTGTCCAGAAGACATTTGTGAAGTCCAGGACTGTGTTCTCCTCAACCTTTCTCTACAAGAGTCTTCTCTCAAGAAACAAAAAATGACAGCATGAACTCACTAATCTAATCAATCTAAATTTAAACAATCTAAAAAGGCTGAATACATACAAGCAGAGAGTAGAACAGGGTGAGAGGAACAGAAACAAGATGAGACCAAAGGACACAAAATGTGGGTTTGTAGCTGGGTGCTGGTGGTTCACGCCTGTAATCCTAGTTATTCAGGAGGCTGAGATGTGAGGATCACAGTGCAAAGCCAGCCTGGGCAGGAAAGTCTGTGAGACTCTTATCTCCAAGTAACCACCAGAAAACCAGAAGTGGTAGAGTGCTCACCTTGAGCTGAAGAGCCCAGTGATAGCACCTGTGCCCAGAGTTCAAGCCTCATGACTGACAAAAAAAGTGTGGGGACTGGGAAGGTGGCTCAGTGGTAGAGCACTTGCCTTGCATGCATGAGGCTCTGGGTTCAATTCCTCAGCACTACATAAGCAGAAAAAGCTGGAAGTGGTGCTTTGGCTCAAGTGGTAGAGCGCTAGCCTTGAGCTGGAGAGCTGAGGGACAGTGCCCAGGCCCAAAGTTCAGGCCCCACAACCGACAAAAAAAAAAGTGGGTCTGTGGGAAGAATAAGTCTAGAGATCTACCATATAGCATGAGGACTATACTTTAAAATGTTGCATCAGGGCTGGGAAGGTGGCTCAGTGGTAGAGTGCTTGCCTTGCATGCATGAGGCCCTGGGTTTGATTCTTAAGCACCACATAAGCAGAAAAAGCTTGGAAGTGGTGCTGTGGCTCAAGTGGTAGAGTGCTAGCCTTGAGCTAAAGAGCTCGAGAGTTCAGGCCCAGAGTTCAGGCCCCACTAACCGACAAAAAATGTTGCATTGTATTGTGGAACTTTACTAAGTGACAACTTCAAGTGCTCCTACCTGGACAAAAATTAAGTAACTGTATGAGAAAATGGATATATTAATTTGCCGGGCCTATGTCAATATGTGTATGATAATACCATGTTGTATGCCTTAAATATACACTTTGATAGAAGAAGAAAGAAGTGTCTTGTATTTTTAAAAAATTCTTCCTTATGCATTGTGTATCCAAGGCAAGAAAGAAGGAAAAAGAGGGAATAAATAACAAAAGAGAGAAAGAGGAGAGAGGGAGAGAGAGAAGGAAGGTTCCACTGTCTATTCCTGGTGCCATGGTTTGAATACATTCTTCGTGTGTTAGGCAATGAATCCCCTGTGCCAGTCAATGAGGCTGAGAAAGTGAGACCTTTCAGAACCCTCCTGGATGAATAATGCTGCTATTTTTGTACTCGTGGGTTCTTCACAAAAGTTTGAATCTATTAATTTAGCCTCTCTCTCTCTCCCGCTCTCTCCTCCCCCTCCCCTGCCTCATCCATGAAATGATTACTTCTGTGTCAGCCAGAAAGAGATCCCTCATCTAATCCTGTTCTTTACAAATTTCCCCAACTCAGGCGTTCTGTGGGAGCAGCACAGATTGAGCCGGGCCCTGGGGTCAGGCTGATTCTTTTCACAATCCAGCCCTTGCCTTCTCTTTAGCTTAGCTCTTGCGTCTCCCAGCTGGTCCCTTGCGCCCAGCGCCCCTTGCACGTTCTGGTCCTCAGAGCCTTTCACTTGTTAGTGTCTGCTCACAGCACTTCCTCTCCCTGGAAAGCCTGGGTCGCAGCCTCTGTCTTTTGCTCCTGTACTCGTTCATCTCTCTCTTGTAAGTCATCCTTCCAGGCTCAATTTAAATGATACACTCATGGGCGACCTTCTCTGCCCTGGCAGGAAGATGTAGTTGCGATTTTTCTTTCATTCCCATAGCATCTTGGCTTGAGTGCTTTATAGATTGCTTCTCAAACTTTAATGTGCTCATAAGTCACCTGGGGACCCTGTTCAAATGCAAGCTCTGGTCCAAGAGTAGCGTCCAAGCAAGTTCCCAGGGGATGCTGCAGGTCTGGGAACCATGTTGGAGCACTCACTACACTGCATTATGATCAGTTCTGTGTGTATTTTTGTAACACTGAGCTCCTTCTGGAGAGTCTGTGCTTGAACTGCTTTCTTCTTCCCACTGCCTGAAAGAACCTGGGACCTGGCAGATGCTCGGAAGAGGAGTTACATGAGCAAACCACAGAAAGGATGTGAAGCTAGAAGGAAACACTGCTAGCTTCCAACACCACTAAGCCACATGTCTCCCATCCTGGCAACAGCTATTGAGGGTCTCAGAAGTCCCAACAGAGGGACAGGAAGCTCTTTGCAAACACAGAGCTTGGAGTGTCACTGAGGAAGGAGGGAGGCATCTCCCAGTCCTTGAACTGTATTCACTGGTGGTCTGTGTGCATTGGAAGGACACCTCCATAAAGGTAGGGTATTTTATCCTTTTGTGCACATTTGTGCTTACAACAGAGCCTGGCCCAAACAAATACATATTTGTTGCCTGAATAATTGAATAAAAAAATTAGCCTTTCTTTTCATCTTCTCTTTAAATAAACAAACCTCACAGCCAGGCAAGGTCTGGAATTTCACAAGAAAAAGGCAGACAAGACAACAGTCAATGAAGAAAAAGGCTCACTAATAAGAGAGCCAACTTAAAAGAATATTAGGAAACTGGGTTTTGAATGGCTCATTCCCCAGCTACTCAGGAGGCTGAGATCTGAGGACTGAGGTTCGAATCAGCAGGGCAGGAAAGTTTATGAGACTCCAACCAACCACCCAAAAGCCAGAAGTACAACTGTGGTTTAACTGAAAAGAGTATCATCCTTGAGCAAGAAAGCTAAGGCCCTGGGTTCAAGCCCCAGTACTGGCATACACCAAACAAAAGGAAAGAAGAAACAAGAAAAATAAAAGGAAGGAGGGGAGGGGAAGAGAGGGTGAGGGAGTAAAGGGGTAAAGAGGAGAGGGGAGGAAAGGAGAGGAGAAGAAATAGAGAAAAGCAAAAGAGAGGAGAGGAGAAGAAAGGAGAGGAGAGGGGAAATCAGGCTGTAAAAAGACTGAGTTTGCTGATTCCAATTGAATCAGGATCAGAGTCTGGCCTTAATGGAGTGGGATTTAGCTCCCTCGGGAGCGTCCTAATAATGCTGCAGCCCTGGCCCACTGTCCCTGGACTGAGTCATGAATGCAACCACGGGCAAGATCCATGTAAAAGCAAAGACTGAATTCCAGACCCCACAAATTGCCTTAGGTTTTAGAGATCAGCTTGACACTGCTCGGTAAACGAGGACCCTGAAACAAGGCCTCTCACCCCCATTAGAAACTAGCCAACTGGGTGCTCCATGACATACTAATAGAGCACGAATACCATCATAATGATACCATCAAATACTGGCACATACAAGACAATACAACAATAAGAGGCAGGATAGATAGATGATAGATAGACAGACAGACAGACAGACAGACAGACAGATAGATAGATAGATAGATAGATAGATAGATAGATAGATAGATAGATAGAAGAGGTTCCATACACTTCAATAGTGGTTTATCCATTTTTCTCCCTCCCCTCCCCCAGCTCATGCCCAAGGGTTTCATCAGAGCCACACACCTGAGGGAGGGTGGTTTCTGTGCATATAGGCAGAAGGGTAGGGAGCCTGCCGGTGTCCTCGGAGACCAGAATAGTGCTCACAGCCGTGGTGGGCATGCGGAGCAGGCAGAGGCAAAGGAGTAGCATACTGGTAATTGGTGTTGCTGGCCGCACACATGCCATCCGGATTGGAGAAGATCCAGCCTCCCACTAGAATAGACAAGAGGAAGACTGAGGCTCCCACACCAAAACTCAGATGACCAGCTTCTTCTCATGGCTGTTTCTTGCGAATGACACGGATGCTTGTCCCTGTGCAGAAACTACTATACTGCCAGCCTTCCCTTCTCCATGAGCAGGAGACCTGGCTTCTCTGAAGATAGGTAACAGGTCCTAGCAGGATAGAAAGTCACTTTTAAATGCTGGGATCCAGCTATGCACAACACAATCCAATTGTTAACATTAATAGAAGTGCAAAAATTAAGAAGCTACTGACGTAGGTAGACACTAGCCAAGGGGGTACCAGGTAAACATGTAACAATGGTCTATAGCTACTAGGGGCTTGGAATGTGGTTACATGGAGTGAAAGATCTCTCTCTCCACTCACTGGGAAGATGACGCCTTCCATCACCAACCCACTAACAGACTCCTGAGAGCTCAGGGAAGGGAAGGAGCTAGCTGGCCTTGCGTACCTCAACAGCAAGCACTTTTGCAGGACAATCACAAAAGCTGCAAAAGGTATCATAGGTACTAATGAAGATTTTGAACAGAAGACTCTCCTTCAGGTGAATTCTCGGCACAACTGAGACTTAGAAACGAGGGCTCTGAAACAGGAGTTCTGTTCTCTCTCCAGATCTTAGCAAGCATGACTGATGGAAATTCAGAGAGGACCAGAGTATGCTTAGACTAGACTCTGTCACTTGGACCTCTACACTGTTGTAATGGATCTGGATAATGGAACCTACTACATTGCTTAAATACTTTTGAAATATAAATAAGGGCTGGGAAGGTGTTTCAGTGGTAGAGTGTTGGCCTAGAGTGTATGAAGTCCTGGGTTCAATTCCTCAGTACCACATAAACAGAAAAAGCTGGAAGTCACACTGTGGCTCATGAGGTAGAGTGCTAGCCCTGAGCAAAAGAAGCTCAGGGACAATGCCCAGGCCCTGAGTTCAAGCCCAGGACTGGCCAAAAAGAAAAGAAAAATTAAATAAGAGGTACATATTACACAGGGTGTAATTCCAGACAATTCTCTTGCTTCATTTTCCCACTGCTGTGCAGACATGTGATCCAGGGGTTCCCTGCCTAATGAGGGGGGCGTCAAAACTAACCGGGCCAAATATATTTACTTAGAGTATCATCGAATGGCTGGTCAAAGGGGCTGTGGCACAAAAACAGTTCTGAGAAAGCTGTTGTTTAGTGGGGGAGATTTGCACATGTAATGGGGATTAAACAACGTATATGGAGACTCTACTTATAGCCTTCTCTCCACAGGATGGCACACGTTACTCTGAAGGCTACATTACCTGTGCAGCTTCATCCGCATCACACAATCTCTCTTCAGTGCATTTTCCTCCTTTCACTATTGCAGGATATTTGTGCTACCAGCATCCTCAAGCCCGTGTTTCTTTCTGTAGCTCAAAATGCTTTGTAAGCTTCAACCACCTTGCCATTCCTTTGAGTCTCCTCTGTTATATGTGGCTCTCTAGTTTCTATACATTTATAATGGCATGCACATGTCCTGTTAATCTATCTTTGGTTCGTTTATATCGTAGACTAAAATGGCAGAAACTTTAGAGGGAAAAGGAAAAAAAAAACTTAAAACTTCCCTACAGTGATTAATCAAATCAATATTCGAGAATCCCCCAAGACCATTTAGTTTGTGGAGAAGTTTGCCACACATAATGTATAGACCTCAAGAAATCAAGAAATCTGCCAAAGATTTCCACTCGTGAATATTCAGCTGTGGTTCTACATGTGGTCTTAGAGTAAACAAAAGGTTTTCATCGGAGGTCACTTTTTAAAAAGTTGTTTACGGGGTGATTTCTGAGGGCTCCTCTGTATAGCTCTCCTTCTACTCCTGGCATAGGAGAGGAATCAAGGTTTAGTGAAAAACTGCATTATGGTAAAATGGCAGCTGGGATCATCTCCAAATTCGGAAATGTAGCAGAGGACCCACTTTACTTAAGTCACAGTACTGCCCTGGGGCTACTGCTGCAGGCTCAGTGGACTCCCTGACAAGGGAGAGAGCAGAACCCTGTGGAACATTCACTATTGCCTGTGAAATCCCGGATCTCCGAGAGGCCCTCCAGTTGGCAAATGCAGACCTTTCCTCACGTTTGGGGCCCCAGACTGCTTGAGGTGTTATATCAGTGGCCAGCTCCAACGCTAGCAAATGTTAAAGGGGAAGCAGAACAGGGACTGGAGGGTCTCAGGGTAGGATACGAGGCCAGAATGAACTTTTGAGCATTCTTTGCCGCACTCGCCGCAAAACCAGAGGGTAAGAAACTCATCATTTCATCTGTACCTCCTGCCTACGATTGGCATAAGCCCCTCGAGAAGCCTTGGCATGCTCGCTTTCCCTGTGAGAGCGCTGGAAAGGCATACACATGTCGTGAGAGGCAGGAATAAGTTGTGGGGTTCTGATTCGGCCTAGGTCTTGTTCAGTCACGCTTGTTTAAAAAAGTAGGTATATTGAGGGAGACAACCCAGAGTGGTCCCTCCACCTCCCACACTCTCGACCCCACTCACAGTGAGAATAGGCAACATGCTGGCTCTCAGCAACAACCTCTGGAATGTCTTTTAGGTGGTTTCTGAAAGAAAAACAGACAGGATAGCCCAGGCTGCAAGTCCCGGATAACGTACACCCCAAAGCTCTTCCCAGAGCAACACATTCCTGGGAATAATATAAAAAAATCAAACACCTTTACTCTTCCTCTCAAAACTGCCTTCAGGAAAAGAAAATGGGCAACTGTTCTGTGAGGTTAAAATTTTGCTGCTACCTCCATTATCTATCACGGTTATGGTTACCCTCGTAGCTTACTGATCTGTGATTATTGTTCCCACCTGATCAGATTTGGGGAATAATGGCAGTTCAGATTTGTGCAGGATCTCGGGCCACAATCATGTCTGTAAGATGCTAGATCTACCAATGACCCCATGGCGGGAAACAGACCTATTTTGAAGATTAGAAAAGTCAATTTCAAGGGAGTAAATTGACTTGTGCAAGATCAAACCATCAGGAAATGGGAAGCTAGGGCTCCAGTTAAGAACCACCTATCATATCATGATAAAATCATTTCGAATCTGGATTCTGTCATCTGATACATCAGCTTATCCTTTATGACTTTTGTTGTCTGAAAAAGCCGTGTTTGCCACATCATCAAAATTTATTCAAGTATCAAAGAGGAACAGGTCCTAACATCTCATCATAAACATCTGTCAGCTAATCCAAAGCCTTTAAAATAAAAAGGAGCCACATAGTAGCCAGGACCCCAGCTACTTGGGAGGTAGAGATCGAGAGGGTTGAGAGCTGAGGACAGTCAATGCAAAAGCTCATGAAACCTCTATCTCGACCAATGAAAGTTGGGCCAAGTGGTGTGCACCTGTCATCCAGCTATTGGGAAGCATAAATCATAATCTAGCCTACCTTGGCATAGCTGTGAGACCCTAGCTAGCTTTGGAGCTGGCCACTGATATAACACCTCAAGCAGCCTGGGGCCCCAAATGTGAGGAAAGATCTACATTTGTCAACCGGAGGGCCTCTCAGAGAGCTGGGATTCCACAGGCAATGTTGAAGAAACAACACCTACCCAGAGATTAAGTTCAAACCAAACTACCACTAAAAAGTTGAAAAAGAAATATTAGACAGCTGTACAAATAGTGATAATTTTGACATTCAGACAATGAAATCTGAAAAGGTCAAAGGGAAGTATATTTGTATTTTAGATATTGTCAAGAAAAAGCAGTAAGTATTGCTACCTTTTATTTATTTATTTTGCCAGTCCTGGGGCTTGAACTCAGGGCCTGGGCTCTGTCCCTGAGCCTCTTTGTACTCAAGGCTAGCACTCTACCACTTGAGCCATAGTGCCATTTCTGGCCTTTTCTGTGTATGTGGTACAGAGAAATCAAACTCAGGGCCATATGCATGCAAGGCAAGCACTCTACCACTGAGCCACATTCCCAGCCCACTACTATCTTTTATTTTATCCTAGAATGGGCAGGAAAGATGAAATGGTAAATCACTGGCCCAAAGTGGCCATAATCATTCACTCCCCCAGAATTTCTAACTTCTTTTCTCATACCTAAGAAATATGAACCTCCATTACTCACTTTTTTTTCTCAGTTTTTTAAAGCTAAGAGTAAAGACACACAAATAACTTAAATCCCAGTATGGCACTTAGAAGGTAGAGGTAGGAAGATTTCAAGTTTAAGGCCAGCTAGGGCCACTTAGCAAGACCTTGTCTGATAATACACATGTATGCACACACAGGTACACACACACATTTATTAAAAACATACCATTCAGAAGCAAATAGGAAAAGATCAATGAATCCCTACAAAGCTCAATCACACTTTTTTTTTACTGTGGTGATGCTACATTGAAGAATCTATAGCGAAACAAGACTGATGAAACCTTACCAGCTAGAAGTTCTCCCCGCCCTCTACAATAGGATCAGACAATCATGATTTGGACCAATTTTTGTTGACTGTTGACATGGATCTGAATATTGAAAGTGCATTTCTATCAAAAATAATACAAGCATTTCTAGCCTCATTCCTTTCAGGAACTCATAAATCTCACATCTGGAGAACTCAGTCATAAGGCATTACTAAAATTCTTCTACTCACCTTTCCTTGGCGTCCAGGAAGGCCTTGGCAAAGGGGTTGTACTTGATTTTGAGAGCTGTTATCTTGTGTTTGCAAAAACAAGAAGTGTTAGTGAAATCCAAACACTCATGAACAAAGAGAAGCATTTATGTTTACCTGTGAATAATTCTTTTGTCCCCCCATGGTGCATGAACTAGGGGCCTAGGTGCTCTTCTTGAGCTTTTCTGCACAAGGCTAGCAGCCTACTTTGAGCCACAGTGCCACTTCTGGTTTTCCGGTGGTTAATTGTAAATAAGAGTCTCATGAACTTTCCTGCCCAGGTTGGCTTTGAACTGATCCTCAGATCTCAGCCTCCTGAATGGCTAGAATTGCAGGTGAGCCACCAGCACCTGGTGAAGAATTCTTTTTTATTTCCTCTCTTTCTAGGTTTATTTGCTTACTTCTGCACTAGATCATTATTGCACTGTCCTTGACAAAGGATATTTCACAATGGCATGTGGCAAAAATGAGAAATGATGTATAAAACTAGCAAAGAAAAGGGGAAAGAATTAGAAATGAGGCAGGCCTTGCTGACTCTTCTCTTTTTCATGTTTTCTAACATGATTTCTGCATATCTTCTCATTTAAATTTCATTTCTTATCAGTTGGAACACGGTGGAGCATACAACAGGGTGGCCCCACCTCTCTCTCTGACCATTCAGTTGACCATTATTTCCCAAATTCTTAAATAAGCACCCTTTGGGTCATATTAATGCAAAACACATCATCCCTCCACCCATCAGGACTGTCCCTGTCACTCCCAGCCTTTGCCTGCTTCGTGTCTGATTAGAAGCATCCAATACAAATATAGAGATAGAGGCACAGAGACAGAAATCCCTTGGGGACAGAATGACCCCCCCCCAAACAAACTCATGGACAGGCTAGGCTATGAATCCTGACAACTCAGTGTTCAAGCTACTAAGTAGGGAAAGATCTGCCTGGGTTCGGGTGTTAGAAGTGGACAAACTGGACAAATAGCATACACACACACACACACACACACACACACACACGATGTATACATTTGGATCAATCCCCATAGATTTGCTTCTAGAGCAAGAGAAAAAGGCCCCAGTCAGCCCTGTCCACACATTCTGCCCTGCTCCTGGACATCCCTGGTTCACTACAGGCCAAAGGTACCTCAGGGACTTCGTGGCAGCAGTGGATCGTGGAGGGCTGCCATAGGTCCTATCTTCAGTGGCCCTCAAAGGTCCGTTGGGTAAAGCTGGACCCCTGGGTGGTGCTGTTCAGCGTGTAGGCGAGTAGGAAGTCACTGAGAATGTACTCCTGAGTGTGACTGTGGGACTCTCCTGTCCCTTCTTACTTTGTTTTCCTCCCTAGTCATGAAGTAAGTGGTTTTGCTTGGCCAGGTGCTCCTCAGGCCCAAAGCAAATGGGGATCACTTGACTGATCATAAAGTGGAACCTCAAAAATTGTGAGACAAAATGATGACTTTGTGAACTTACTGTGACGGCAAGTTGAATCATACCGAACTTCCACAAGCAGGCAAGAAAGCAGAGAGCAGCTCCCCCCGAGAAATCTTATCTTTTGTTCACACGAGCTCAGGACGATACAATAAGAGGAGCTCTGTCCCTCCTGCCACGCTTTCCCAGGTGACGTTTGTATGTGTGCACACACACTTACCTCCTCGTTCTGATAGGCGGTCACAGCTATGAACTGGGTTTCGGGGAAGGAGCAGTTCATGACCATTCTGTGTGCCCCGCCAACACGTACTATGTGAATCTGTGGTTCGTACTTATGCAGAGAATTCAGCATTATCTGTGACGTGGGGAATAGAGATAAAAGGAAGCCATGTCTATCACTGGTGGTCAGCAAGCCTTTGGTCAATTCCACCCAGCAAAGCAAATCCTGGGTTGTCTGCGCTTCCATCCTCACTGCTAAGAAAGGAATGCAGGCACTTTTTCCCAGAGCTCCCAGGAGTGTAACGTTGATATTGACTCTTTAGGGTCAGGAACAGGTTGCCGGGAAGGGGGGCAAGGGAAGGAGGGAGAGAGAGAGAGGGAGAGAGAGACAGGGAGATTGCTCTTACTCTATGCTCTGCCTAAATCCTATTTTATGTTCTCTTCTTTCTCCTATTTTATCACAATAATGTACACATCAATCCATTTAAGTATGTCTCTTTCCATATGAAGAACCTTAGAAACTCAAAACACTTACAATGACACTTTACTAGAGACTAAAGGATAAGAAGATCTGACATCTGATGGCTATATGTAATCCAGTCTGATTCATATGAAAGGCTCATTCTGTGAAACCAAGTAGACAATAGCAATTGGCTTTTCAATTTCCTGTTTTAATAAAGAACTGGAACCTTGTGGGTAGTGTAAAGCCTGGCTGGCATTATATGTACCTTCTAAACACTAACTCTTCCACTCCCTACCAGCCAAGCTCAGAGAGAATAGAAGTCACAAGACAGCTCAGGCAACAGATAGACCTGACAAATACATAGGCTAAGGAAAACAGTCAAAGCCGTTTCTTCCTGGCCCTGCCTCTAATCCCTCAAATAATTTGTATTTTTATAAATTAACCAATAACCCAACACAGGGCCTAGTACTTACATCCTACCACAGAACTGGAGAGGGAAAAGCTCCTACCTCATGTTTACTTTAATTGAAGACTTTAAATAAAACCTTCCTTATTTAAGGTTTGTTTGGATTAGTTTTTTTTTCTGAAAAACCAAAGCTGATTCAATATTCTATTGATAATTATCATAATGCCCAAGCAGAGGAAGTAATTATTTCATTTAGGAGGAGCTTTTTATTAAAGTATTTGTCTATTGCCAACATGCCACTTACACCAAAAAAAAAAAAAAAAAGGATACCGACTAACAAAACCATGGTACCCACAGGCCCACTCCCGGGGAGGGGCTGGGTACAAAGCCAACACACAGGACCAACCTGAAAAGAAGCCCTGATTAAGTAAACTACTGCACTCTCACTCTCTCTTAACATCAGGAAGTCCATTAAAAACTGAAAGCCCCAATTAAGAGCTGTTTATTCCTGTTTACATTTGGACCTCAGGGAATAATTGGCTTCTGTGGGAGAAGAGGCTGGTGAGGACCCCTCTAATTGCCTAAATGCACCCTTGATAGTTCTTGGTGGGTGCGGGGGTGCCTACCTGCCCGCCTCCGTTCAGCTTGTTGGTCAGCTTCACTCTGCTGAAGGAGATGGGTGCCTTCATCCAGTGCGCCCCGAAGTTGGGCGAGTCGGGGTGGATGTACACGCAGCTGTGGGAGGAGACCTCGGGCTTGCCCGCGGGCACCCACTCCCCATTCACGTACTTCCAGCGGTGGCTGTCGGTGGGCATGAAGTCCAGCAGGAGGGAGTACATGGCGTTGGGGTCCAGCCCTGAGACACTGACCTTTAGGACCGGAAACATCCGTCTACGAGAAAAGTTGTGAAGTGTCAGGGGCATCCTGTGAGGCTAAGAAAATGGAGGGGAAGGGCTGGGTTGAAAGGCCTGGGGGGAGACATGAAAGGGGTGACATCGATGGAGATGCATGGCACCCCTAAACTGATTTGGTTGAGTGGGATCCCCTTTGTACAACCACTTAAAGATAAGATTTTAAAAAGGAGAAGGAAGGGAGGACAGAGAGAGAGAAAGAAGAGGGAGGGGAAGGAGGGAGGGAAGGAAGGAAGG